ACGAAAAGAAAAATTTAGGCATTTTTGGTGGAAGGCACTGAGCTATAAGGGATTTAGTTAAATTCTTGTGAGTTTGTTTTAGCTTCCTTAGAGGATAACAATGGGTTTGCACTGGAGTTTTATGAAGTATACAAGACAACAGATGGTTCAGTGCTGACTGACATGAGCTTTCCCAGCCTTGCCTCAGGCGTCCTGAGAGCCGAAATTGTATTTCATGCTGAGAGACCAAGAAGCACAGAATGGTCAAAGATTTAATATCTAACACTGGAAGAAATGTAATCACAGCAGCGTAAGGAGAAACCTCACAAACCAAAAAGAAGTGTTAGCAATAATGGATTAATGAGGAAGGATTCAAAACTGCCAGATATCTATGTCGGCCGGAGGCAGGAATGATGAAGTTCAGGTAAGAATGCTGACCCCCCCACACCCACCAAACCAATTTAACGCTTGCCGGGAGGACACAATCATATGCTGTGGCACTATGACCTCTAAACCAGAAGAGCTCAGCTACCTTGAAAGCTAATGTCACTGAGCTCGGGCAATAAAGATACATGAATGGTTCCAGCATGTTAGATCATGTAAAGCTGAGCATACAAGAGCAGATTTTTGAACGAACGTTCATGCGAATATTTGTGTGAAAATTCTCAGTACATTAGCTTGATGGATGTCATTCAAAAGTAGCTCCAAATTTCATTTGTACAAGGTAAATAATCCAGCGCAGGAGAGCCGTTCTGTTGCCGTATATGTAGGTTATACAGTCAGCAAGTGGTTAATGCTCAATTTCAGAATGAATGGACTTTACCAAATGACTTCTATATTCACTGTTAGAAATATGTTCATTAAAGAAAAAAAATATCTATCTATCCTTGCAAAAGAAAAAAAATATCTATCTTTAAGTTCTTGTCATTGCAATTGAAAAGCAAACATCAATTTGACTCCATTAACAACTAGAAAATTGAACAAATCTTCTCAAAACAAAAAATTCAAACAAAAGTCTACTAGTGTATACAGTGGTGTATTTTGGTTTTGTGCTGCCCTAGGCAAGACTAAAACTGGGCACCCCCCACATCTAAATTTGTACCACCCTTTCATCTGCAAACTCCACCCCTTCATCTTCTTCCTCTTTAGGCTCCACCTCTTCCTATTAGAGCTCCACCCACAGACGATGGGGTGCTATTCCTCCCACTGACACCAATGATGGGGCGCTATTCCTCACACACTGACACCAATGATGGGGCACTATTGCTCACAAACTGACACCAATGACACCAATGATGGGGCGCTATTCCTCACACACTGACACCAATGATGGGGCGCTATTTCTCCCACTGACACCAATGATGGGGTACTATTCCTCCCACTGACACCAATGATGGGGTACTATTCCTCCCACTGACACCAATGATGGGGTACTATTCCTCCCACTGACACCAATGATGGGGTACTATTCCTCCCACTGACACCAATGATGGGGTACTATTCCTCCCACTGACACCAATGATGGGGTACTATTCCTCCCACTGACACCAATGATGGGGTGCCCCATCATTGGTGTCAGTGGGAGGAATCCTGCCCCATCATTGGTGTCAGTGGGAGGAATCCTGCCCCATCATTGGTGTCAGTGGGAGGAATCCTGCCCCATCATTGGTGTCAGTGGGAGGAATCCTGCCCCATCATTGGTGTCAGTGGGAGGAATCCTGCCCCATCATTGGTGTCAGTGGGAGGAATCCTGCCCCATCATTGGTGTCAGTGGGAGGAATCCTGCCCCATCATTGGTGTCAGTGGGGGAGGAATCCTGCCCCATCATTGGTGTCAGTGGGAGGAATCCTGCCCCATCATTGGTGTCAGTGGGAGGAATCCTGCCCCATCATTGGTGTCAGTGGGAGGAATCCTGCCCCATCATTGGTGTCAGTGGGAGGAATCCTGCCCCATCATTGGTGTCAGTGGGAGGAATCCTGCCCCATCATTGGTGTCAGTGGGAGGAATCCTGCCCCATCATTGGTGTCAGTGGGAGGAATCCTGCCCCATCATTGGTGTCAGTGGGAGGAATCCTGCCCCATCATTGGTGTCAGTGGGAGGAATCCTGCCCCATCATTGGTGTCAGTGGGAGGAATCCTGCCCCATCATTGGTGTCAGTGGGAGGAATCCTGCCCCATCATTGGTGTCAGTGGGAGGAATCCTGCCCCATCATTGGTGTCAGTGGGAGGAATCCTGCCCCATCATTGGTGTCAGTGGGAGGAATCCTGCCCCATCATTGGTGTCAGTGGGAGGAATCCTGCCCCATCATTGGTGTCAGTGGGAGGAATCCTGCCCCATCATTGGTGTCAGTGGGAGGAATCCTGCCCCATCATTGGTGTCAGTGGGGGAGGAATCGTGCCCCATCATTGGTGTCAGTGGGAGGAATCGTGCCCCATCATTGGTGTCAGTGGGAGGAATCGTGCCCCATCATTGGTGTCAGTGGGAGGAATCCTGCCCCATCATTGGTGTCAGTGGGAGGAATCGTGCCCCATCATTGGTGTCAGTGGGAGGAATCGTGCCCCATCATTGGTGTCAGTGGGAGGAATAGTACCCCCATCATCTTTAGTGTCAGTGGGAGGAATAGTGCCCCATCTTTAGTGTCAGTGGGAGGAATAGTGCCCCATCTTTAGTGTCAGTGGGAGGAATAGTGCCCCATCTTTAGTGTCAGTGGGAGGAATAGTGCCCCATCTTTAGTGTCAGTGGGAGGAATAGTGCCCCATCATTGGTGTCAGTAGGAGGCATAGTGCCCCATCATTGGTGTCAGTAGGAGGAATAGTGCCCCATCATTGGTGTCAGTAGGAGGAATAGTGCCCAATCATTGGTGTCAGAGGAGTGATTCCTCCCACACTGACACTAATGATGGGGCACTATTACTCCCACTGATACAATTATACTTACATCACGTGCTGACCCCTGCTCCAGCCCGAGCTTCCACCTTCAGGCCCATCAGCTGTCTTCCTCCAGCCGCTCTCCTCCTCTTCACCGGCTCCAGCTGCTCCCTCACTCGATCTTTAATCTTCACGCTGCCACTCAGCAACTCCTTTCCAAGCTCCGCCTCCTCACCTGTGATTGGCCGCCTGTGTGCCTTTTCTGAGCTACAGATCTGGTGGCCAATCGCGATCAAGATCCAGGAAGATGAAGACACCGGACGGACACCCTCTGCACCCCTCCTCCAGCAACGCCTTGTGGACCAGATCGACGTGGGACACGGAGTCGCAGACCAGGTAAGACACAGCAGCCCCTGTCCCTTTCCCACGGAAGTGTCCCTTCCGTGAGAAGGGGGAGGGGGCGCTGCCGTCGTGCCGCCCCCCCCTGAAAAGTGCCGCCCCCCTGAAAAGTGCCGCCCTAGGCAAATGCCTTGTTTGCCTCGCAGCAAATACGCCCCTGAGTGTATACCTAGCTTGACTTACACATTCCCCTGCCTAGGAAGTCTAAAGAGTGCGCCTGTGTTGGTATCAATAATAGACAATCAAATCAACATAGTATTGGCAGCCTCCCTCATTTGTATACAAAAAGCAGGACGAGCCGGCAACTCCAAAATGCTGTGATCAGTGCTACTTGCCGAAACCTGCTTTTATGCCACTCCTGTATCACTAATAAAGCTTCCATGTGGATTTTGGAGTTGCTGTCTCTTCCTGCTTTTTGTATCCTGTATCCAGTGTTTGGAGGACACTTTGGAGTCCCACTGCTGAATCAGGTGTGTTTCCTGTTCGAGCGCTGATTTTCTGCTATCATACGCCCTCATTTGTATATCTAGCACATACCAGTTTTAGAAGGGAAGCACAGAGAGGTTTTCCTTGGATTCTACACTACCTTTCACTGCTGTTACTGGAGCTTACAGGGTTACACTTCTGTTCTCATTTAGAACTGACCTTTTTCAGTAAAAAATATTTGATCAATGAATGCAAAACATTACCTGTGATATCTCTAAAATCCTGAAAAATGCTCCTTAAAACAATGCAAAAACGAATGATGTGCAACAAACTGTAGCAAACGTATTTCAACTTTTGCCATGTTCATTTTATTTGTTGCATTCACTGCCATCAGACTTGTGTGGTCAAAGCATGCGTCTTAAGTCAATTCTGCCTTCCATTACCATATGTTTCATTTCAAGAGAAATAAGGGAAGGTGAAGGCCCACTAATCTCAATAACCAAAATCTGTCACCAGCACACATGTACCAGACGTGCTTTCATGCACACAGTGGTATGCACCTATGCCAAGATCAAAATATATTATTCTACCAAACAACATTTCAAAATGTTTACTTGCAAACCAAAACTGCCAACGGAAGGGGAGATGATCTTCAAGGACAAGAAAGCGGTCAACTTACTAAAAACTAAACACTTCTGCCTCTGGAATGGCAGATGACTCGCTGTACCAGAACTCTAATGGGGAGGGCTTGCTGTCTCCTCCTCAGTGTGGGTGCTAAGCAAATATACTAATTATCTGAGGCACTTTAGAGATGTAGTGCCAGCGCCCAGAAAAAATGTGGTAACTTCACTGTTTTAATAAAAATAAAGGGTAATGCCAAGGTGAGAAAAACTTTACACAGTCAGCAAAAAGCATTTGGGGTGGATAATAGAACAACTGAATACAGGTAATTAAGTCCACTCAAGCCTTGGCAGAAAGCAACGTCCACATGCCTCATGTTTTGGAAAGGTTAGCATCTGTGCTTTACACCAACCTGCTAGGTTAATATAACTGACATCTAAATATTTGGGTTTGGGGAGTAAAAGAGGAAAAAAATATGGAACAGCAGCAAAGTGATTTTCTTTCAGCATCAATTATTTTCCTGGTGACCATTGTCAAGGGGCTAGAAAATCCAAAATGTTACAGTTGTCCCCAGAACTGGAATAGAAGGGAAACGATACCCCTGTACACTTTGTGTAGTATTTTTCAATAGGAAGTGAATGGAAATCTCTCCAAAAGGAAAGACAGACATAAAAAAAACAAACAAAAAAAAAGGCATCACACACCAACCTTTTCTGCAATTCCACTTTCAGTTGTATAAATAGCCATTAATTCTGTGTCTTCCGTATCCTGGTCAACAGTGGACGCGGCACCTCCATTTATAACCACCTACACATTAAGAGAGGGATCAAAGAGGAATCAGTCAGAAAATATGTTTCATCATCACCAAAATTAGAATAAGTAAATAATTTCACTACAAAAATGTCCAGGTATATCAAAAAAGTTGCTAATTTTCTAAATGGATGAAGCACACACAAATTAAGCTTCACACACTAAACTTCTAAATGGACAAGACTTGCATACCCTCAAAGCAAGTAGATCCTTTATTAGACCTGGACTAGGAAGATGGTATTTTTTCTGTGGCTTGTTTCTACAGGCAGTGCAGACAAATGAAACTTAAAACCCTAATGTCAAACCAGAACTTTTTTTTTTATAGTTTTGGATAGAGTACAGAAGGAGTAGAACTTCTGTTTTTACTGCTATCCAGAGGTCTGTCAGGGAGATTTCCTCTGACTATGCATGAGCATGATCTTCAAACTGTTCAGACTAGGATCTGGACGCATGATCAAGAAGCATGTAAACCTGTAGCTGTGGGGTAGGGAACGCCCCGGTTTCAGATGACTGGACTGTACAAGCATCAGCCTCCATCTGGGTTCGCAAACTTGGGTTCAGATCCTAGTCTGAACATGGCCGAATTCTTCACTACTGCTGAATAAAGGTTTCACCAGAAACAAGTGAGGAAAAACCTTCAAAAGAGGTACCCAGAAACAGAAATATGAAAGAGGTTTTAAGTATCTCCAACTTTTAACAATAAATAAATAAATAAAAGCAGTAAAAGTCAGCAGGACGAGAAGAAGGGAAATCTCTCCAACAGAGCCCCAGATCGCAGTAAAAACAAACAGTGTGAACAAATTTACAGAAGAAGGAATGCGGGAAATACCTCATACCTGCTTGCGGTTCCTTCCGTTCAATCACAGACTGGTGGGAGAACAGATTTAGGTTGATGTCATACTTGTGACCCCACCACTGGTGAAAACCTTCTAGTAGCAGGACACTATGGAGGACACAGCTGGGGTGTGAAATACTCACCTGCTTGCATGTGTAGTTCTTGCTTGCTGGATGATCGAGGTAATGCTCTCTTGCCAGTGACTTACATGTTAAAGTTTTCAACAATGAGGGAGCAACCTCTCACTGATCCAGCTGGAGATGAAGCAACACATACAAGCAAGAAGTGTTCTCACCAGCTACAGGATTGCTAAAAAATGATGGAAGCAGTGACCAGCAAATGGATTACTAAACTATGAAGAAAGGATCACAAGTATGACATTAATATTATACAGGTCTTATATAGTGCCATAAATGTGTGCAGCGCTGTACAACATAGCATGAACCCAAGAAAGTGGAACCATTTTCTTCCTATTGTCACCCATCCAATGATCTCACTATAGGAAGGGTGCTGAGGTATGGATATTATGTAATATTTGACTTTTAACTGGACCTGAGTAAGATTTTTGCCTGAAGTATAATTTCATTATTCAGTTTATTAGTTTCCAACTATATTTAATTAATCCACAGAAAGAAATGGCCCAAAACATGGAAAACATTTTCAGTATTACAGTGCACTTTAACACACTGTGTTGTACTGGAAGGTCTTATCATACTGGTAAACACTGCTGCACATAGATAACGCTTACTACAAGTAGAATTGTCTTTTTTTTTTTTTATGATTTTCAGCACGCTACAACTACAAATATTTCAATTTTCCTTGTACTGAAGGTTAAATGACAATGGCTGGCTGTAAACAGCTCAATAAAAGCAAGTCATTTTCAGTATCATTTGCTATTATCAGACCATACTGTGAGACGAGACAGTGAACACCTCAGCCAGTTGGAGCCTTTCATTACTGCATATGAGCAACATTCAATTCGGCAAAGTATTGACTATGCCACTTTAACTCTTGGATGATAACCGCGTGCCCCACTAAAGTCATGCAAACGGTTGCATACCTTTGGAGAAATGGTTATATCATATTTCCATAATTGATTAGTCAGCCTGCTTACAGAATCCATTATTTGTTTAAATATCAGGAAATACAGTGCAATACATACAGCTCAGTACACCATACATACATGTCAGTAAATGCCTGAAAACTTGTGAATGTGTATGGAGCAATGCCTTGTGGGACATGTAGTCCTGGGCAGGAGAAGGAATTGAGTGATTTTAGAGACAGAAGTTTTTTACCTTGCTATAGGGGAACTCTATACTTTGTGGCTTGTTATAGGGTTACTCTGAAGCAGGAGAAGGCCAGAGGTACTGGTGGGGGACCCCAAAAGAGGAGAATCAGTGCTCGACAAATCCCAGGTGCTAAGTTGCCATGGCAACTAGAAATTGCAACCTGATGCCTGAGTTCACACATTGCTTCCTATTGACTTCAATGCAAAAATCGCCTCCCATTGACTACAATGCAAAATCGCCTACCATGACTTCAATGCAAAATCGCCTACCATTGACTTCAATGCAAAATTGGAACAGTAAACTAAACTTGTATTAACCCACTAAAATCCATGTCAAACCATTGAAAACATTTTTATATAATTAGGCCACTGAGAATTGCTAAAAATTCAAAAAAGAACAATTAACATCCACTTCTATGTTGAGTCCTTTGGGGGCCATAGTTCCTAGCTGGTAAATCCATTGAGCTTCATTTTGGGATATGGCCTTTTTCATGTTGGTACTTTGCCAGTGTTTATCCACCTGATCTATTCCACAAAATTTTAATTGTATGGGGTACCTATTGTGATGAATTCTGACGTGGTTGAATAGGCTTTGGTTGCAAAATCCCTTTTTTACATTATTAATATGCTCCCTTAGCCTAATCCTTAGTTCTCTGGTAGTTCTATCTACATATTGTAGGCCACACATACATTCTAATAAACAGGTAACGCATGTGCTACTATATGTGATGAACTTTCTTATTTGATGAGATTTTCCTGCAACATTAGATGGAAAGTGTGTAAATTTCTTGCCATCTTTCATACAAGTCTTACACGTTAAGCATTTGCCACAATTAAAAAAAAAAAAAAAAAAAAAAAAAAAAAACTTGATCTGAAATGTCACCTTTTTTTTAGGTGTGTCTGGGACACTAATCTGTCCTTCAATATTGGAGGATGCCTGTAGACAAATTTTAGTCTCTAAGGGAGTACATTAATCAATGATCTCTTTATAGAATGGGCCAGTATTTATTAACAGCTTTTTCTACTTGTTTGTATTGCCTACTGAATTCTAAACTAAAGACAATATCATACAGTTCATCATTGTACTGTATTCATCATTTTTCTTTTGTTTTAGACGTTCGTTCGTCCCTGTTCATAGTCTTAACCTGATTCTTGATATGTTGTAAGCTCTGTCTTTTGAAGCCCTTTTCTACAAACCTCCTAACAACCTTTTCAGATTATTGGTCAAAGTCTTTATGATCACAATTCTGCCTAATCCACATTATTTGTTCCCTTGGGTATTGCTCCCAATCATCTAGGGTGGTGGCCACTTATGACCGGAATGTAACCATTCCGGTCCGTTTCTTTAAAATGAGTATGTGTACAGAGCCTGTTTTCTTCTAAATTTGTAGATTTCTAGGTCCAAATAACCACTTCAGTGCTATAATTGGCTGTGTGATATCATACTTGTTTATATTAATTTCCCTCAAAAAGTTCTTTTAAGGAAGTCTCAGATCCCTCTCAGACTAGGAATACATTGTCTATATATCTTTTGTATGCCTCGAGCTCTTTTTTAGGTCTAGGATATATGTCTTCCTATTTGATCACGAATATGTTAGCTGCCGTGGAGGCAAACTTAGCCCCAAGGCAACTCCCTTCTTTTGGATGTAAAATTGTTTGTCATAACAAGAATTAATTTTCATGGCTAATTCCAAAATATCTAGCATGAATTCAATCTGCTGGTCTTTTAACTTCGTTTTATTCTTCAAGGCCCATTTCTCTGCCTCTAGGGCATCTTTTTGATTAATATTGGTATACAGAGTGTTCACATCAATAATTGCTAGTATGCATTTATTACTAATTGGTATGGTTTTTAATATACTTATCAATTCCTTACTGTCTTTAACATACGAAGGATAATCTTGAAATTGCTTGAAGGCAGTGGTCTAGATCAGTGGTCGGCAAGCCGCGGCTCGCGAGCCACATGCGGCTCGTTACACAGTTTAATGCGGCTCTTCTGTGTGCCGGGTGCCCGCTCCCCTCCCTCCTCTTGGGCGGCCGCCCCAAAAGTCAGGCAAACTACGGCCCGCATTAGGCCCAGCGGAACTTTTAATCCGGCCCGCGGAGCGTGGCAAACATTGGCTGTCAGGATGTAGGCGGGGCAGCGTGATGAACTCCTCTCCTCTCACAGTCCGCCCTGAAGACCGGAACGGCGCGGGAACACGGCGAGAGGAACGCGCGGAGCAAAGGTAAGTGAATTGACACAATATGGGGGATGAATTACTATGGGTGAGGGGATGAATTACTATATGGGGGATGAATTACTATAGGGGGGATGAATTACTATAGGGGGGATGAATTACTATATGGGGGGTGTATTTTCAGTTTTAAAAATGTGGCTCTCAAAATAAATTTCAATCGTGGTTTTGGCGAGATTTGGCTCAGTTGAAAAAAAAAGGTTGCCCACCACTGGTCTAGATAATCTCCTACTTGAAGAAGTGAATCCACCCCATTTATATTGGGTCTGCCAAAAGGTTTCTTGTATCTTTATGGATCTTGGGGACTTGGTAAATTATACGCATTTTTGGTGCTTCTCTTATTAGATATTTAGCTTCTCTGTTATTCAATATAACATCCTTTTGAACTTTTTTTTTTTTTTTTTTACCAACCTTGTCAGTTTAGCTTTCAACTTGTTCTTTGGGTCCCCTTTAACCTCTCTAGCGGTCTGATAATGTCCATAGTTCGGTGCTCAAAGCGGTACTTTTTTTGCATGGAAATATGTATTCTTTTTATTGTAGGCCTGTAATTTTTAGGAATAACTCACTGAAATCTGTACAAGAGTCTAGTAAACATCCCGGGTATGTTACAATTTGAAACACGAAATCATAAATTATA